AATACTTTTATTTAGCAAGGATGCATTAAATTGATCAAATGTGACCAAAAAGGCATAATGTAACAAAACAAAAAAATTCTATATTTCAAATAAAGGCTGTTTTGCTCTTCTGATCTTTCTATTCAAAGAATATTGAAAAACAGTATCAATGTTTCCACAAAAATAATCAGCACATTTGTTTTTAACATTTATAATAACGAGAAATGTTTCTTGATCACCAAATCAGCATATAAGAAAGATTTCTGAAGGATCATGAAGAGTAATGACTGCTGAAAATGTAGCTTTGCATCACCGGAATGAACTGTATTTTAAAATATATGAAAAAGTAATCCACTGGTTTGTAGAGGCGGGTCAAAGTGACAATTTTCACCTGAGATTCAGAGCCAAATTACGGGGAGTAGAAATGATGTTAAGTATCAGCTCTGAAATTTTGAACCATATAGGGCCTTAAAAATTAAGATATCAAAAGAAAAGTTTGATAACAACCAAAATCTAAAAGGATATTAAGATATCTCTAATATTTCTTGAGTTACACACATGCAGACTTTGGGGAGAAATAAAAAATAAATTTAAAAAAGTGCTTTTTTTCCCCATATATGAACTGTCACCTTTGGCATATAATACAACAAGGATGGCTAAAGTCAACTGATTTTACTGAACAGACCTACCAATCTCTGTGTAAAAATAAAATGATGATGATGCTGCCAGCTTTCTATGGTAATTTTTACCCCTCTGTTATTACTTGGCTCTAAGGTGAAAATTGTCCTCTACAAAATACTGGATTACTCAGTAAATATTCATCCATGACATTTAATATTTTGGCTTTCATCAATATTTAGATTTGTCTTTCTTCAGAAAAAATAATTTTCAAAGTTAAAAAATTGAGTGAGGGAAGTTTCTGAAATTTGGTTGATTTGACATGGAATGACCCACCGAATACTTTTTGAGATCACAGATGTATTTCAATCTATTTTGTGCTCTATGCCATAACAGACACAAAGCAAAGCAAAACAGTGCAGGGACGCAGCAACAGATGCAGGTGAGAATACAAATACGCTTTTTTTTCACACATAGCATTGTCTGGTTGCAATGCAAAAATTTGCAATCAGTACAACCAAACCAAAAAAAAAAAAGTCAGTGATGCTGGTAATGATTAAGATGCACAATTCAAATAGTTCCAAACCAGATTATAAATGCTGCAAATGCTACGAGGCTGATGTTTGTTCTCGATTCACAGAGAAACAGTACATGTCAAACATAGAGCAGCTGGATAAGATTCGTCAGGAATGGGAGATCACGCATGAGTGCACATGTGAGGTATAAAAACACACTCGCCTATCTGTTAGCTGGCCTTCAGAAATAGCTCTTGTCTCTCTGCTGAAGCTGTGAACCACATAGAACACACTAAAAATTAACTTCCCTTTTCTCTGTTTTACTCACTATGTACCACAAACCACATAAACTGAACTCTGCAAAAGAAACTGTTTTTGGTTTATTTAAACAATTGCATCCATAAGATCAATTCTGATCATCCTATGTGTCACTAACAGTTTGACAAAGACTTGACTAAATCACCATTCACTGTATTTAATACCTTGTATGGTGAGTTGGCGCAGCCTGTGTCATTCTGCTGATTTCCTTCTGTGTCTGTCCACTGTTAATAATAATAAGTTGATTAATTCATGGGTCTTCGCATTACGACCACGTAGATGTATTTACGTCATGATGTTGAGCTGAATTCTGTGAATTTCTCCAGGTTTTCCAGCAGCAGGAAGATGATCGCATTAACATTTTGAGAAATGCTATTTGGGTCCACTGTAATCACTTTTCCATGCAGTCTGTCAAAGATGATGAGGTCAGTATTACTTAATGAAAACTGCACATTTTAGAGTGGCCTTTTATTGTGGCCAGCCTAAGGCACACCTGTGCAATAATCATGCTGTCTAATCAGCATCTTGATATGCCACACCTGTGAGGTGGATGGATTATCTTGGCAAAGGAGAAGTGCTCACTAACACAGATTTAGACAGATTTGTGAACAATATTTGAGAGAAATAGGCCTTTTGTGTACATAGAAAAAGTCTTAGATCTTTGAGTTCAGCTCATGAAAAATGGGGGCAAAAACAAAAGTGTTGCGTTTATAATTTTGTTCAGTGTACTTTTGCTTCAGCCTGAGGTTTATTCATTACACTTTTTGGTGTGAAAGAACTTTTATATTTGCTATAAATAGAACTTCTTATATTAAAAACAATCAAGCCCTGCTTATATTTAAAAAGTAACGCGAAAGTAACGCAAAAGTAATATAATGCATTACTTTCCATAAAAAGTAACTAAGTAACGTAATTAGTTACTTTTTTTAGGGAGTAACGCAATATTGTAATGCATTACTTTTAAAAGTAACTTTCCCCAACACTATTATGTTAATTATATGAATGTAAGCAAACTTGTGTCATTGCTCCTGTGAACCACTTAAAACTTTGATGTTTTGTGGAAAACTATCAGGTTTTACACAAATGTTGTCTTTAAAGCAATTACATTTTGGTATTAAATGATAAAAATGCAAAATAGAAGCATTTTCACTTGTGGTCTCTAACTGTCAAATAAAGCACTGGCCATTTGATCAAATTACTGATGATTTTTATGCAGTGTTTTGAGGAGGTGAGGAAAGTGCTAGAAATGTGTGACATCACGGAAGACATCAACAGTTTCATCAATACGAAAAGCACTGGCACCACACCAGCAGGTCAGTGCTTTTCTATATTGTTTCCATTGGGTTTTTATATTAAACTTTAATTTGTCAAAAAGTACAAATTGCCATCATGATGTGGAGTAGTTCAATAACCATATCATGTGATGATGATGTAGTTCGAGAAACGTGCTGCTGTGTCTTTGCTTAAACTTTCTGTCTGTGTCCGCAGCGCCCATTGTGTTTGAAAACTATTATGAAAGAGAACCAACAACAGACAGCAATGGCATCACACGCTTTGGAGGAGGCGTGATGAAGAGGTGTGTTTTCCACTGCTGGGTCTGTATGTTAATGTATGAGACTGTGTTAAATATTTGTCATGCTGACAAAACAGAAAACAATGGAAAATGCCATTGCCATTGCCATACTGCTATTCAGCAGTAGCTGTTTTTAACATGCTTTCTATCAGAGATACTGGTTCATCAGTCTTAAAGCTGCTAGCAGATGTATCACACAAATAGACATGCAGGCTGAGCTGTGATACGCTGGTCTGTTTTTAGAGTATTAAGTCCATTGAGTTAAAACAATAGTGAGAAAAGGAATTGTTTAATGGGTTAGTGGTTATCAGTGAATACATTATCTGAATCTGTCCTTTATCTAGAAAATATTTCTTATCAAGATAACTTGTGACCTCACATTAAATGTCTAAAATGTATTTTAATGCACTGTTTTTTCCCCACATATTTTATACAGTAATTTATTTTCTTTTTGAAAGGTTTTCAAATCTCTTGCAAGGCAACTGTGCCGTTGGCTCCAGGACTAATAATAATGAATGTGTTCAGCCATCAGCACCTCCATCAGGTACCTATTACAATAAATAAAATTTTCGGCCACATCTCTCTCATTTTCTTTCTTTCTTGGACATTAATTACACATTGCACATTACAATTTATTATTCTAGCCATCTTATAGTTAGGCACCATTTTTTTAACTGTACAATGTAGATGTTATATGTGCCACCACCAGAGAGCACTACAGCCCACTCTTTAATTTCACTAAATGGTTTTGTGTAGTGTTTTTTTTAAATACTTTTTTATTTTCCTAGTGTAACCACCTAAAAAGAACTAGTGTTATTTTAAATTATTTATATACTATTATAGTATTTATTATTATTTTGAATTACTTTTTATTTTTATATTTTCAGTTTTCTGTCATTTTTATTTTAGTAATGTTATTATCCGCTTTTTTAATTCGTTTTTGTGGTAACACTTTACAATACATAACTACTTTAGTTAACATGAACTAAGAATGAACAACACGTCTTCTACAGCATTTATTCATCTTAGCTAATGTTAATTTCAACATTTACTAAAGTTGTGCTTGTTAACATTAATCAATGCACTGTGAACTAACATGAACTAACAGTGAACAACTCATTTCATTAATTAACATTAACAAAGATTAATAAATACTGTGATAAAGTTATTGTTCATTGTTTGCTCATGTTAGTTAATACACTAACATTAACTAATGGAACCTTATTGTAATGTTACCGTTTTTTTGTTGTTGTTTTTTTTATATTTGGTAACACTTTACAATAAGCTCCCTTTAGATAATTAATTTCTTACAGTATTTATTAATCTTAATAAAAATACAACTGTTTATTGTTACTTCATGTCTGCTCAGGACAAGTATTAACTTTTGTTTTAAAATAATGAATTAGTAAATCTTAACATTTATTATTATGATTAATAAATAAAAAAATAATAAATTATTTTTTTGTAAAGTGTTACCAAATATTTCTATTTATCTTTATTATATATTTTTTTTCAGTTTTAGTCAATGTCAATGTTTATTTATAAAGCACTTTTTTAAAAAACAGCAAGTGTTTATCGAAGTGCTGTACACACAAAAAAGAATACAAATATCAATGATACAAACAGTCAACAATACAATACAAGACAACAAAGACAATAAAAGAAAGCAGCTCTCACATAGCGTTAAATGCCAAACTATAAAAAATAGGTTTTTAGGCTAGATTTAAAAACAGGAAGTGTTTGAGCCTGTCTTTTGAGCCTAGTCATTATAGTACATTAAACTAATTTTATTTCAGTTAATATATATATGTATGTATATCATTGGTCTATTTTCTTTCTTTCAGCTGACATTGCAGATGGAGTGTATGCCTCCGTTCCTGGATTTCCACAAGCAACTTCAGACAGTGCTGGCTCTCAAAGCGGCACATACCAGGCTCAGTATGAATATGTGGCTCAGGTACAATAGTCTGATTAAATGGAAAAAAATTTGGAAATGATTCAAATGACTTTACAGGAGAATACTAAGAATATGCATTCACTATGGACTATAACTTTAAAGATGCACATACAGAATATTTTAAAGGCCAAATTTAGTCATCCCTTTAGAGCGCTATCGCTATATTTTGAAGAAAATTTGCCACCGAAGTGTAAGTCAGTATTAACATTTCCATGTTTATTCAAAAATGCCCAGATGGTTTTGACCGTGGCTGTTAACTACGCGCAGAAAAATGTTAATATCCTTTTTTGGATGTTGCGGAAATGTTTCATGCAGTGTGATGAGAGACTGTTGTGCGTGCAGGGCGCTGATGAGCTCTCCATCTCTGTGGGGGAAGTGCTGCTCGTGGTGGAACAGGGAGGAGACGGCTGGTGGACGGTGGAGAGGGACGGCCAGACTGGGCTGGTGCCAGGCTCCTACTTGGCCAAGATATGAATCAAGAGTCTAGCACAAACTGCAAAGTCTCTCCATGTCCTTAAACGCTCTTTAATAACAGAGTTATTAAGGGCACTCCCTATAAAAGTGTCTCAGAGGCGGATTTCTGTTTGCTAAATGCATTTAAGCAGTAGCACATCCATACTGAAAATCTGTATGGAACGTAGTAAATAAATCAAAACGGGTTAGGGCTGCACGATAAATCGAAATGGAATCGAGATCGCGATTCGACAGAAGCTGCGATTGTCATGCGTATCTTTCAGTGAAGCACGGTTCTGGTATATTAAAAACTTAATTATACATGACTATCATAATTGTTGAGATAGAGATTTATATTTATTATAACATGTATTTATTGTGAATGAAAAACATAAGAATGTACAACAGACAATGAGTAGCCACTACGGACGATGACAATGCAAGTCTAAACAAATTTTAGTGTACATAGATATTTAAACAGAGTTCAAAATTTCATCTCTATTTACTTTTTGGAAAGTTAATCAGTGTGATTTTTTTTTAAATATTATATAATCTATAATAGAGCTCTAGGTTCAGCATTTTGCATTTATCACTTGTACCGCATAAAATAAAAGCTGTGTAATGATCATTGCATCATTGCTGAATGTAAGTTGGTTAATGGTTTGAACACTGTGGCTGTACTACTTTTTGATTTTTCAAGAGCACCGAAATGCGATTGGTTAAGAGAAACTAACCTGGGACAAACATTTTAAAGTTTAAACACAATGGCCTTCTTTGTCTTATCCTCACGTTTCACGTTTCCAAAAGGACCAATCAATAAACTTTTTCAAGCATTTCTCAGTCACGGTATTGGACTTATTCTGTCATATTTGAAATGTGAAGGAAATCCTAGGCTATTTCTGCACATAAATGTTTAGAAAACACTGTCAATTACGGTCTGCAACATATGAAGAAATTCAGAAGCTTACTATGCAATAGTTTGAAACCTGTGTGATTTTGTAAAAGATTTTTTCAAGTTTTATTTGATCAAAATGACAGTAAAAACTAATAGTGAAATATTACAATTCAAAATAACAAACTATTCTAATAGTCTAAAAATTATTAGAATAGTTTTTTCATTCTAATACATTTTAAATTGCATTTTAGACCTGTGATGGCAAAGCTGAATCTTCAGCAGCCATTACTACGGTCTTCTATGGACCCTTTTTTCCCCGCCATGGAATAGAAATTTTTTTTTTTCTTCTTGAAATTCTGATATTTTTCCTCAGAATATAAACTCTGCTTTTTTCCCCCTCGCAATTTTCAGAGTTTACCTCTCTAAAATTTTATTTGTTTTCCTCTTAATTTTGAGTTTTCTTCATCTCGCATTTCAGTTTTTTGTTTCCATCACACAAAAATAAAAATGTTTATTAATGTTTATATTAATCGTAGTACTTTCTTTACAAGCTTTTTTTTTTCAGTACGTAAATCAGTCAGTAAACCAACACCATGCTAATTCTTTATCAGGTATCTGGTTAAAAGGTTTCACATTGCTCTTTTGCACAGATCCTATTTCAGCACTGTCAGGACCTGTTCAGTTACAGTAAATATAATGATAGAGAGGAAACCCACATGACAGGCCCATTAATTGCATTTTAACTTTCTACTATTAATAACCTGTCATTAGAGCTTGCAGGTGTTGTGCTGTTATTAAGGGACCCAAGAACACAGTGATCTAACTTCCCCCTCTAGATAATGTGTGATAGTATGCTGCTTCGCATGACCTACTCAGCAAGCAGATGGGACACATCCCCCTCCCTGGGAAAGGACTGAACTTTGACCCTGGTCTATGCTATTAAGTGTTAAGGCCGCCTGACTGAAGAAAGACCCCAGACAAGGCATCTTTCAACATCTGTGACGTGTTTTGAGTGCCTTGTGCACTATGGAATTGTTCAAGAGTGGGGAAACGGTCATGAATGATATAGTTGTGCGCCAAGTAGTTACATTACAGAGCTTCAGACAAAAAAAAAAAAATTAAGAGAGCCACTGGTTTCTAAAATGAAAAAAGATGACTTTTGTAGTTGACAAAGAATCAGAAGGTAATATGGTTGTTCAGAAGCACTTCAACAATAGGGTGTGCTGTGATGAATGAGCATTTTACTATATAGTCCATCATGATTTAAAGGGGTCATATAATGCGATTTAAATTTTTCCTTTCTCTTTGGTGTTACAAGCTCTTGGTGCATAAAGAAGATCTGTAAAGTTGCAAAGACTAAAGTCTCAAATCCAAAGAGATATTCTTTATAAAAGTTAAGAGTCAACCACA